GCACAGTAAAAGCTTCCAATAGTGTTAAAGCAATCTTGTTCACAGCCTCCATTTTCATTGGAACACTCATTGATATCTATGCATTATATTTTAAAAAGAAATGTAAACCATCCCATCATACCTGTACAGTTTATTGCATTGTTATTAGTCTCATATCCTTCTCTACACTGACACTGATAGCTTCCTACTGTATTGATACAGTCCTGTTCACATCCTCCATTATTAGTATCACACTCATTGATATCTATGTATAAATTAATAAAAAGAAATGTAAACCATCCCATCATACCTGTACAGTTTGTTCCATTGTTATTAGTCTCATATCCTTCTCTACACTGACACTGATAGCTTCCTATTGTATTGATACAGTCCTGTTCACATCCACCATTATTAGTATCACACTCATTGATATCTAAAGTGATAAACATTTTACTTATTAAACTGATACATTACACTTAGCATTAAATAAACAAACCTGAACAGTTTCTATTATTTGTATCTAAACTGTAACCATCATTACACAGGCACAAATAACTTCCAAAGGTGTTAATACAAATATGTTCACAATCACTGTCAGCACATTCATCAATATCTACATGATAAAGAAATCATTCATAATAATAAGTTTGCTGCATTATACCTGAACAATTATATCCATTGAGGTCCAAACTAAAGCCAGGATGACAACTACATGCATAACTTCTAAAAGTGCTAGTACAAAGTTGGTCACAACCACCATTATTGCTCAAGCAAGGATCTAATAAATAACAGGTAACATGCATAATAATGGTATATTTTCCATACCATTTCCTGTTAGATTTATTCCAGCACTATAAGAATAACCATTGTAGCTACCAAAGCCATATACTAGTGCAGTGAAACCTGTCTGCATTGAAATAGTATAAGAAGATGAGGTGGAGATTGTGTTAAATGGAATTTGTGTTCCATATCCAATTCTACTCATACTGTTATATATATTGTTCCAAGTTACTGATCGTAACTGGCCATTAATGTACAATGGACCATTTGTAGTTGTGGCAATGTTGATATAATTGTTAGTAATTGTTGAAATCCAGGATTACCAATGTTATGTTCTGCTGATGCAGTTCTATTGGGGGAATAAGTGATATA